GAAAAAGAAAGAAAAGAAAAAGAGCTGAGAAGAATCTGTGAAGGTCACAGTCCAAGGGCATAAGCTTACCAGATTGAGATCATAGAACGTGATCCATATTTTACCATCACATCAATAGGGCTCCACATAATAACAGGATTTCAGATGAAAAGAACTACAAGGCTCAGATTTGATTTTAAAAGGAATCTCTTGGGAAACCTGAGGGTAGAGGAGACAAAAACAAAAATACTGAGGAAACTTCAGCCTACGACACCTACAGCTACAGCCCACAGTGGATACAGCCTAACTCCCAGAGAAACACAAAACTGCACCCTGAAAGCCTATTTACCTCTATTCTTTTCACCTAGTATATCATGTCCAGCTTCCAACAAGAGATTACCAGACATGCTAAGAAGCAAAAAACACAAGAGACAGGGCAAGGTTCAGAACTAGACTCAGATGTGGCAGAGATTTTGGAATTATCAGACTGTGAATTTGAAACAACCATAATTAAGATGCTATGAATTCTGGACAACGTGCAAGAACAGATGAGTAATTACGCAGCATGCTGGAAGCTCCAAGAAAGAATCAAAAGGAAATGCTAGAAGTTATCAACACTGTAATAGAAACCAAGAGGCCTTGGATTGTCTCATCAGCAGACTGGACACACCCGAGGAAATAATCGGGGAGCTTGAAGGTATGTCAATAGGAACTTCCCATACTAGAAGGCAGAGAAAAAAGAATGGAAGAGGGGGAAAAAAACCAACCAGAATATCCAAAAACTGTGGTATAATACCAAAAGGTATAACATACACACAATGGGAGATGGTTAGAGATCTGGCAGGTGAGTCCTGAAGGTTCCAACCTATATCATAGGCGGTCCAGAAGGAGAAGAAAAGAGGGGAGGCAGCATCTGAAGAGATAATGGCTGGGAATTATCCAAGAGCCCAGCAAATGCCAGTGAGGATCTTTTTAAAAATTAGAATTAAAAACAGCATATAAATATGAATTTCAGGATAAGACAACAATATCTTAAACATATGCTGATTAGATTATATGGAAAAACAAACATGCAAGAATATCTAGGAAAATTCTAAAAGAAGAATGAAGGGGGGGACTAGTCCTACCAGATACTAAATAAGTTATAAAGTAGCCATTAAAAGCTCAGTGATGGGGCATTATTAGACATGCAGAAAACAGACACCAAGAACAGACACAAACATATGCAGGAATTGAGTGATATGATAAAGATAGTGTTTCAAGTAAGTGGAGGAAAGAGATTATTCAATAAATGGCGTGGATCACCTTGTATTGCTATTGTGAAAATAAAACTGGGACCCTATTTCACAGCAAAATAAATTCCAGATGGAACAAACTGAAAGGTGAGAAAGAATGATGGAAGGGAGGGAGGGAGAGACGGAGGGGGGAATAAATTCCTGGGAGAAACCATGAGAGAACTGTTTTATTTTTTTACATTATTCTAGACAAGGAATAACAACCCAAAAACCATTTAAAGATAAGCTTGATATGGATATGTCTCCTCAGGCAAGGGAAACCAAAGAAAAAAATAAACAAATGGGACTACATCAAACTAAAAAGTTTTTGCACAGCAAAGGAAACCATCAACAAAACAAAAAGACAACCTAGTGAATGGGAGAAAATATACAACAATGATACAGCCAATAAGGGGTTAGTATCCAAAATATATAAAGAACTCATACAACTTAACACCAAAAAGACAAACAATCCGATTAAAAAATGGGCAGAGAACCTGAATAGACATTTCTCCAAAGGGCACATACAGATGGCCAACAGACATATGAAACGATGCTCAACGTCACTAATCATCAGAGAAATGCAAACAACCACAATGAGATACCACCTCACACCTGTCAGAATGGCTATCATCAATAAATCAAAAAACAAGTGTTGGTGAGGATGTGGAGAAAAGGGAACCCTTATGCACTGTTGGGGGGAACCCTTGTGCACAAAAGGGATTGCAAATTGGTGCAGCCACTATGGAAAACAGTATGAAGGGTCCTCAAAAAAATTAAAAACAGAACTACCTTATAATCCAGTAATTCCACTTCTGAGTATTTAGCTGAAGAAATCCTAAACACTAATTGGGAAAGACATATGCATCCCTATGTTCACTGCAGCGCTAATTATAATAGATAAGATAGTGAAGCAACTGAAATGCCCATCAATAGATGATTGGATAAATAAATTGTGGTACATTTATACAATGGAATATTACTCAGCCATAAAAAGAATGAAATCTTACCATTTGTGACAATATGGATGGACCTAGAGGGTATTATGCTAAATGAAATAAGTCAGACAGAGAAAGACAATAACATGTAATCTCATTTATATGTGGAATCTAAAAAACAAAATAAATGAGCAAACAAAACAAACTCATAGATACAGAGAACAAACTGATGGTTGCCAGGTGGGAGCGGGGTTGGAGGGATGGGTAAAAAAGGTGAAGGGATTAAGTACAAATTGGTATCTACAAAACAGTCACGGGGATGTAAAGTACAGTACAGGGAATACAGTCAATATCGTAATAACTATGTATAGTGCCAGGTGAGTACTAGACTCATCGAGGGGATAACTTCATAAGTTATATAAATGTCTGACTACTATGCTGTACACCTGAAACTAATATACTTTGAATGTCAACTGTAATTGAAAAACAAAAGTTCTAATAAAAAAAGAAAAGCTTAATAATAAAAATATAAGACTTCAGCATGGGGGAAATGCCAATAACAAAAATTAAAGGCAAACTGGAAGAATAGAATACATTGCAAGTCGCTACATTTCATATTCTATAAGCTCATAAAAATACACACAAGTGTACAAACACACTCATACACAAACCCAATAAACCCAGCAGAAAACAGAGGAAGTCCACTGCCAAAGTCATTGCTTGCAGGTCCAGTTACACACCTTCACATGTGTACTTACGGGTAGTCATGGAAGTAAATGAGAGAAAATGGTCGAAATGCTGACCAGCAGGACTAGTTATGTAAGTTACAGCGCATTTTCTCAACACGCTAATTTGGAATGAACTCTTAAGATATTAAGAAAAAAGTGTGCTACCGTTTGTAAAAGGAAGCATTTCTTGTTCATGCACAGATGCCTCTCAAAGGAAACGTTAAGAAACTAAAGAAGAGAAAGAAACAGAATAAGGATCATCGCTCACTGTGCACACGCCCTGGGAACCTTCAGACTTGTGCCTGCATCAGCAAAATATAAATTTAAAATGTAAGATTTGATAAAAATTCTCAACAAAAACATTTAAAAGGTACAGAGGTGTAATACTGATAAAAGAAACAAGTCACCAAAATGTACTAAACTGTTTCTGACTAAAAGGCAAAAAAAAATCTTAAAAGTACCAGAATGAAGGAAGTGACAACAGAAGCAGAGGTCACAGAGAGATCTGAAGATGGAGGAAAGGGCCACAAGCCAAGGATTGTGGCAGCCTTTGAAATCTATGAAAGGAAATGAATTGTTCCCTACAGTTTCTGGAAGGAACGCAGGCCTGCCAACACCTTGATTTTAGCCCCATGAAACTGATTTCAGACTTCCAAACCCCAGAACTGTATGAGAATAAATCTATGTTGTAAACAAACAAACAAAAAGCACCAAAGACAAAAGACACATTATCCTCAAAGGGGCAACAATGAGACTTAACCACTGACTCAACAGAAACAACGGAAGCCAAAAGGGAATGACATTTTGGGTAAATGACAAAAGGGTAAACATCTGCCAACCTTGAATTCTATACCTAGCAAAAATATCCTCACAAAATAAAGGTGAGATGAAAATGTTTTCAGATAACAGCTGAGAGAATTCATCACTGCACTAAATGAAATGCTACTAAGAATTCTTCAGGCTTAAGAGACGAGATTGCAGACGGAACCACTGAAAGGCGGAAGAGTGACACAAGGGGCAATTATGTGAGTAAATACAAAACAATATGGGCTGTCATAAGCAACAACACATACCTGAGCTTGAATCTCAGGAATGCACCTACTGTTATTGTCATGGGCAAGCTCTTAGATGCTGTTTCATCTGTTGATGGGGATCCTGAGGGCAGTGCCAACCTCGAGTGGTTGGCACTCGTCTATGACATTATTCTTAGTGCAGCACCTGGCCCGCAGCAAGCCCTATTATATTTTTAACACCTAAGTAGTCCTTCCACTGTGTTTTAGGGGTCTGGAAACTTGTGAGAACCACTCTGGACCCTCTTTCATTATGTATCCCTACAATAGGAGCTCAGATCAGACACTCCCAAAAGGCCTGCAAGGGTCTTTCTCTGGTAGGAAAGACATCGGCAGGGGAAGCCATAACCCTGATGTTGAAAATGGAATTTTTGGCTACCAACTCTAAGGGAGAGGAACCCCTCCCGAGTACCCTGGTGTGGCCAGCTGTCTCCCCAGCTACCGTGGGCATGGTGGCAGGGGGTATTGGGCTGCAGTGTTGACTACTTGGGGATAGAATTTCTGGCTCCCCTGGTGAGGATGGAGTCCACACCATGCACAGGGCTGCTTCAAGGGGGCCTGCAAGAGCTTTAGCCCCTTGGGGTTCACTCAGTTCTACCACACTTGAGTCCAGAGCATCACACACCATGGATAAGCTGGCAGATTGGCACCCCAGCCTCCACAAAGGCTGACTTTGCCCACATTTTTCTATCTAGCTATCATCCATGCATCCATCCATCCACCCACCAATCCTCCCATCCTCCTGTGGCCCCACCCATTCTTTCACCCAACCATCTATGCACCTTCTGAAGTCAGGCTTGCTTTTCAACCCAAACCTAGCTTGCCCCCCGGCCCCCCCGCCCCCCCCACACACACACTCAGGCTTGGTCCTAACCCTCTTCTCTCTTCCTGGTCGTTGATCTGGAATCGCTGAAACAGGGAGAGAGGGCAGGGGGCCCCATGGTACTGTGTACTCCCCCCGCCCCAACTCCACAACAGGAGGAACCAAGCAGATGCATGAGGCCCTATACATAGGTCTGCTTTCCCATCTGACTTTATTTCACTTTTTTTTCTATAAAATTCATCCATAATTTCACAATTTAACAAAAAGTTTAAAATCCAGGACAGAAACGATCCTGTAACTTATTACAAACACGGTTCTCCTTATTCCTTTTATCCAGGAGTTGGTCTCGGGCCAATGAGTGTCCTAGTTCCTAGTGAGACACATTCTTTGTAAAAACCCTTATGGGTAAGAAAGGTATTCGATACCTTTTGCTTTCAGGCGTTGGTTTACATTTTGTTCAGGAGATAGAAAAACACCGGGATTTGCACTGGGGGTAGGGGGGCTTAACACTAAACACGCGGCAATCACAAAGTGCTGGCCCCTTCCTATGGAAGCGTCCCCAGAGCCCTCGTGGGCCCAGCTGCCGGGCAGCTGGCGGTGGGGAAGGGAAGCAGCTGGGAATGCTGCCGCCGGGGCCCTGGCTGCCTGGCATGTCCATCAGGTGGTCATGGGCCAGCACTGGACCCAGAGCAGCTCGAGAGGACAGCACTGGTGGCCTTCTGGCCAGAGGAGGTAACTGAAAAACGGGCCGGTACTTCCTAAGGCCCTGGAAACAGCATAAATGGTGGGCCCAGGAGCCTTTCTCCAGCTGCCTCCAGGGAGAGCCCGGCTCCAAAGCAGAAGGCTGCCTGTGTCGCCATGTGGAGCCTGCTGCCCAGGAGATCCTTGTGAAGGAGAAAGGCCTGAACCCTTGAGCTGGCTGAGGCTTTGCCTGTGACGCCCGGCAGCCTCTGTGCATAGAGGGCAGGGCGGCTGCTGCCTCTGGAGCAGCCTGCGTCAGGCCAGTTCCTTCCGTCCAATGTCTTGGAGATTTTCCAAAGAAAGGTGCCCATTTTGGAGTATTGCTGGCCTGGAGTATTGGTGACAGCACAGGGCCTGTCACACAGGCCTGACCTCTTCCTAATACCTCAAGGCAGTGGGGTCAGGAGAGAATCCAAACGGTGGCAAGGAGACATGGTGGTTTCCTCTGAAAGTTCTCAGGCCTTCCCCGAGAGCTCCGGGGATCTCTGGAGTTCAGGGAAGCCTTGGAGATGGTGCTCCCCAGAGAGTGACAGACAGAATCGGAGCAGGGACATGAGAGTCGGGGACCACAGGGAAGAACAGCACAGTCTCCCCATGTCAGAACTCTGGAATTGGGGGGGAGAAGGGGCTGATTGACAGTGGGTTGGAGGAGGTCAGTACCCTCTGGGGCCCCCACTCCTTTTTCCCCACATCTCGTTCAGGGCAGAAGTCGCGGGGAGGGGGACTGGTGGAACCTTGAATAGAGGTCTGGGGGAACAGAGGCTGGGCAAACAGGCCTCCAGCCCCCAGGAGCCCCACCCAAAGTGGGCTGATTCCATGAGGGCATTTTGGCCCTGGGAGGTGGGCCGGAAGGGAGGAGAAACCAGCCTGGCCCTTGGAGAATCATGGGCATGCGAGGAATTGAGTCTCCGGGCTCTGGACCAGTGTGAATGGCAGAGGTGGGAGGGCCGGGCCCAAACCAGAGAGGCAGGCATGCCTGGGAGGACCTGCTGCTGGCAGGGGCCAGGCATGAGGGGCTGGCTGAGTCCCGGCACTCGCTCTTCGAAAAACTCCACAAACTATCCCGTCTTATTTGGCAAAAGCTCATTTTTTTTTCAAAGTTCGAAGACTCGATCAACAGAAGGAAGAGGATCCTATGGAAGGAGGGAGAGGCCGAGCCCCAGGGCGCCATTACAAGTGGCGGCCTGCAGCTAGCTGGAACCTGGGAGGTCTGCTCCTGGAGACGGCCGCCAGGATGACCAGGTGCCTGAAGACCTCCTGCTCCATCGTAGTGTTCATGGGCCCTGGGCTGTGCCTTCCATGTCCCGAGAGGAGGACGAGGCGTCCTCATACCACTGAGGGAGGACTCCTCCCTGCACCTGGAGAGGGCCAGCTGGCGTTCCGGCTCGGCCTCCAGACCGACGACAAGACCAGTGGAGACATCTTAACCTACAAGTCCCGCCTTACCCCCCCCACCCCCCACGTGCACCGCTGCCACAGATATGCACACCCGGAAACCGCTCAGGTACCTACAGTGCATACATACACATATAATAGAGAGAGAACTATACAGCACGGAGTCCCAGCACAGTGAGAGCCGACAGAGGGGCTGCGTGCGGCTCATATGGAGGATGGGCCGAGACCCGGCCTGGCGCAGCTGGACCCTGAGGTCCTGTGGTGTGGTGGGTGTGTCTGAACCATTTGGGAGGCTGGATGCGGTATCCTGGCTGCTCAGAAAGGCCTGGGCAGTGACACTGTGCCACGAGCTCCACCATGGAGCAAGGCGCCCACCGCCGGGCACGTTTCTTCCCCTATGGGAATGAGGCCCTGTGCTGCCTTCAACACAAGCCACTTTCCAAGGGGGGCCCAAGTGACGACCCCTAAGTGTCGGGGAGCAGCAGTGGCACCAACCCAACCCCCCTCGGCCCCAGGGCTCCCGGTGAGGTGGTGGGGAGGGCAGGCCGGGAGCCAACGAGGAAAGTGCAGCTGGCCGTGTGGGCCGAGGACAGGGCGGTCACTAAGGCAGTGCTGCAGGTGGGCGAGTCGAGAGAGAGGAAGGCAGGCGGGGCCCGGACGTGGCCTCCCGGGACCCCGGCGACAAGGGCTGGCCACCCGGCCCAGGGTCATGTGGCCACGGCCTCCAGGTAGCTCTGCAGCTTACGCACGGTGGTCTCATCCAGGGAGAAGAGGTCAAAGTCGAAGGTGGTATTGGTGACATTGAAGTGGCCAGTCTCCTCGATCAGGTTCACAATCTGAAAGGTAGTGGCAGGACAACTTCAGGAGACAGGAGGTTGAGCTGGGATGGTCCCACCCCCTGAGGAGGGGGCAGCAGCTCCTTAGGGCTACAGTGAGGGGGTCCAGCAGCCCGCAGGTCTTACAGGTACCCCGTCCCAGGGACTCCTCTGAGACAATCTGTTCTCAGCCAGGACTGAGAGGGGCAGGGCAGGCTGCATCCCTGTACCTGCTGCAGCACATTGCGCTCCCGCAGGGCCATCAGCCTCCGGTGCAGCTCCACAAGTTCGTCCGTGTAGGCCTGATGGTGGCAGATGGACACTCAGAGAATGACCTCAGCCCTTCCGACCACCCAGCCCTGTGGGACCCCACCTGTGGTCCTGCCCATCTCAGCTTGGGGCTCAGGACACAGAAGGGCCTGATGCCCCTGGGGCCAGCACCTCGGCACGCCTGGGCTTGCCCGTCCAGTTCTGGGGCCCTGGGGTTTCCCCGCACTGCCCACCACGTCCGAACCCGCTACCTTGTCATAGGTACCCCTCTTGAGGATCTTCTCAGGCTTGCTGCAGGACTCGGGGCTCCTCCGACCTGACACCTTCAGGGTAAATCCGGGTCTGCTCTCAGCTCTTACCTGTGCCCCTCCCTAGCCCCCCACAGGCTCTCTGACTGCCCCCCTCCCCGGGGCCACCATTGACTGTTCAGAGCCAACCTGGAACCCCAAGACCTACCAGTCCTCCCTCCTCTGGCCCCCAAATCTAAGGGAAGCCCATCCTGAGGAAGATATACCCCTGGGATCTGGGGGTGAACCAAGGCTACCTCTGCATCCTCCACCCTCAGCCTGGGACCCCTGGAGAACCCCAGGCCCAGCAAAGGCTCAGCCCTCAGCCCTGCCTCCAGGATGTGACAGAGACCTGCCCCCCAGAAAACCTCCTCCCCTGGGCTCACCTTGCTGTTGGGTGGGGGCGGCTTCTTGGGGGGAGGGGGCTCACGGCTGGGCAGGCAGGAGTCAGCACTGTTGTCGCTGTCACTGTCGCTGAAGCTCAACCTGAACAAGGCATGAGGAGTCCTGTCAGGCTTCCACCACCCTGCTGCTCTGGGACCTATGCCTGACCCAGACTCGCTTGATAATGGTCAGCCCCTCCCTGTGGGCCAAGTGTGTGCCCAACTGTCTGGGATCCCACTAGACCTCAGGAGACCAACCCCACTTAGCTCTGGGCAGCCACTGCCTACTTAAAAAATGAATGTGCCTGAGTTGCCTTCAAAGAGCAAAGAACCCAGAGCCGCAGGCACGCACTCTAAGAGGCTCACGACCCCCTAGTGTGGGTCTCCTGGGGCCAGCACACAAGGCAGAATGCCTCGGCAAGCCTGATGGATGGGGCTAAGTTCTCCTCTTTTCACAAGGTCCTGCAGGCGGAGCTGCCTGTTAGATTCACTCTGGCCAGCAGGCTTCCTCAGTGACATTGGGCATCCCTGTCTGGGTGGGGCCCTGAACACAGTGTGTCTGGTGGTGGCTCAACCTTGAACCTCCTGGGGGGCTGGGCCCTGAAAGGGTCCTCAACCTCTGCCTCGATTAACTCACCAGTAAAATGAAGTCTCCGAGAGGAGTGCACTGGGAAGGGGCTGGCTCACAGTGACAAATGGTCACTACTGTCAGGGGAGGCAAGGTGTGGTTACTCATATTCAAACTCCCCAGTTAGGCTGAATTTGAAAGCCTCCCCTTAGAGTCATGTTTGTCTCTCACGATCTCAGTCTGGATAACATGGGCTGGTCCAGTCCTTTCAGCTTTTTCCAGAATCTCTCGAAGCATAACAAGAGGGATGTAGAGAGAGCAAATTCCTCTCTACCCCGCAAGGCTGGAAATGGCCCTGCCCTCTCCCCTGTTCCCCTGGGGGCCGCCCTTGTGAGAGGCTCTGTCTGGGATCCCCAGTCCCTCAGGGACATTTTGGGCTTGATCCAGTGAGGGGGAGCCTGACAACTGTTCCTCCACAACACACTGCAACATGGTAAACCCTGCCAGCCGCCTTCACCCTCTGACTAAAACAGGCCTTGGTTTGAATGCAGTGCCAGGAAATACCAGGGAGCGCTGTGTGGAGCCTGGGCCTTGGTGGCTCCTGTCTTACTCCCTGGAAGGTCAAGGTTGTCCATTTCCTCAGGTAAACTTCTCCCAGTAAGCATCAGGCTCCGGAGCCCCTGCCCTCCTTGAGGCCCAGAGCTCTCTCTCTCCGGCTAACCAGCTGCAGGATCACTCCAGGGGATAAGGCAGGCAGTGTCTCCTCGTTGCCCAGGCAACACTATCAAGTCAGCCAGTTCCAGGCATGGCCTCACTGCCCTCTGCACCCCTCGCTTGCCCCTCTTCACTGGGTCCACCAGGCAGCAGCTGGGAGCCATGGCAGACTGTGGGTCTCCCCAGGGAGCAGACCAGGATGAGATGGGGCTTTGCCAGCTTATCCCAAGTAGCTGCAGCGCCATCAGGGTCTGATATTGGCCCCTTGCCTGACAATGGATGCGGCCCCCCACTGGCGCCCAAGAAAGCCCCAGGCCTTCCACAACTGCTCCTAGAAGAGGACTCTCTAGGTGCTTCTGCACATGTGGTCCCTACACCACTGTGTGAGTCCCTCAAGAATGGGACCCATGTCTATAAGCCCTCTCAGCTCCCTGTTCCTCATGTCCAGCACCAGGCGGGCAGGAGCCGCTGCTATTAACCTCGTCCTAGGAGACTGCCGGTCCTCCTCGTGCCCCTCCCCAGGCAAGTCGCCATTCAGGAGCTCCCCACAGCCACACTCTCAGGATGATGAGTGTGTTCAATCAGCTATACTGACACAGACGACCACCTACAAGCACCCACGACGCACCCCTGTGCCTGGTGGGTGCAGACCTGGTGATCAGCCTGGCTTAAAGAGCCACTGAGGCTCAGGGGCCACAGCCTCCTAGGGAGAAGGGGCTGGATCTGGGCCGTACTGGGCCGCTGTGACCACTGAGGCTGCCCCTTCTTTAGGTCTGGGGCCAAGGCTGGTGTTTGCTCTGGCTGGAGACTTAGAATGCACAGCCATCCCGAGTGAGCTCACTCTGGGGGTCTAGGGGTGTCCACGGGACAGTTTTCAGTTTGTCCTCATCCCGTGCCACACATGTGGGGAAGGGGGAAAAGGTCCCCGGGCCCAAGAGCAGAGGAGCCAGCCGCCCACCCCTACCCCTGCCTCAGACCGGGACTGGCTCTCGGGCTGCTGGGCACTGCCTCTACCCATTTCTGAGATGATGACTGGACTTCTCTCCCCCAAGATCTCGCCCCTTCCTGCCAGGTAGCCCACACCTTCCAGTGTCAGGAGGAAGGATGCCACCTAAGGCCCCCCCACTTCATGAAACAGGAGAGACCACGTGGCCCCCAGGCAGAGCACCCTCTAGTAAGCTTGGATGCTTCGTTGACCCCAACCCCAGGGACACCTCTGTCCTGGCCCTGCCTCCTTGAAGCCCCTCAATTTTAGCAGAGCCACCCAGGTTCCTCAGCCCAGCTCGCCCCTCACCGGCCCGGGCACCTGGAATCCCTCCCTGCATTCGCCTTGCTGGCGGCCTCCTCGCCTGATGAAGAGTCGTCCTCGTCGGACTCCTCCGATTGCAGGTCTTCCACCATGGAGCGCAGAGGTCCTGGGGAGGGCGGCAAGGAAGGAGAGGAAGGGAGGAGAAAGGGGGAATCAGGGCTCTGCCTGGGCCCTGCAGCGTCCCATCTCCTCCACCCCCGTGACCACATAGAGCTTTTTGACACCAATGACCCCCAAAAGCACCATGCAAACCTACCTAGGAAGTCCTTCTGGCCAGGTGGAGCCTGCCTCCCATCTCTCCAAGTACTGCCCCCAAGGCCACCCCTGCCTAAGGGATCCTTTGGCTCCCCGCAACCCCTACCTTCCTGGTGCTGCTCGCAGGCCTCTGGCCCCTGGCCTGAGGCAGGACCGCAGGGCCCTTCCATTGCCAAAGCCAAAGGAGCAGCCCTCCTCTGCTGCAGACGCTGAGATTAGAGCCTCTGCTTGGAGCCAGGACCAGCCAGCCTTGCCAAGAGGGTGAGGCGGCCAGAGCCCAGGGCCACAGGATCCCCTGACCAGCCTGTGCCCCTACTCAAGCCTGCCCAGACCCTAAGCAACCCCCTCTTCTGCTCCCAGCCCACCGTCCTCCCCTTCCTCCAGAGGCACCCGGTTCCAGTCCCCTACAGACGGCATCTTGGTTTATATTCCTGTTACCAAGGCAACAGAGGGACACAAAGCCCTCAATTACCTTGGTCACATGATCCCGCTTCAGCAGGTTCCTCCTCCCTTCCCCGTAGATAAGAACCCTTGGAGAGAGTGTGGGCTTTGAGCACCCCATCCCCCAACCCCCCCCAGCATACGCTCCCCTCCTCCAGCTCTCCACAACCCTGAAAAAAGGATTCCAGGCTATGGAGAGGAGACTGTTGGTCCAATCCACCAGAAGAACCGTTTCCGGTTTGAGGGTGGGTGGTAGGGTCAGCTAAGCTGGTGGGCCCACGCCACCTTCTCACACCCACATCCTTCAGGCTGAGAAAACCCAGGCCCACCCTGCACCTGAGGAAGGCCCTTCCCACTCTGGGGCAGCCAAGTGGGCCTTATGCCCTCTCCTTGCAGCCCCCATCGCCCAGATTCTGCAGGGAATAGGCAGAAATGCAGACTGAGTGCCAGGCAGACCAACTACAGCAGCAGAGCATTGGTGCCCTGATTCAGGGCTGGGATGAGACAGGGTGGGAGTGCAGGATGAGGAACTGATGCCACCTTGGTCTGGGAGGAGCTGGTGAGGAGGGGTATCTGGCCACGGGTAGGGCCCAAATCAGAAAGGGGCCCTTCTCTGCCAGCCCACAATGCCAGCACCTCATCAGCACAGCCCCTAAGTCCTTGTCATACAAATGGGGCGTTCTCAGGGCCGAGAGGATGGACACTAGAAGGAGCAGACTCTCTCACACCTGTCTGGTGGTCAGGTGACCTATTTCTGCTTTTTTTTTTTAATACAGGCTGCCTGAGCTTCCAAAACCTATGGACATGGATCTCTGAGGGCCCAGCGTGGGCAAGCAGTTGTATACTACAGAAATGCCCAGGGTAAATTCAGCCCAGGCAGGAACCTCCTGCCTTTTCACTCTAGCCCCTCCCCTATCTCTCTAGTCCCTCCCTCATCCTCCCCACCCTCTCCCATCACTCTAGGCCTTCCCCCATCATCCCCTGCCCTAGGATAAGGTATCAATGGGTTTTTCTGGCAGCAGCAGCAGCTGAAACTCAGGCTTGGAGTGAGACCCCAAGCAAAAGTCAATCACTTCAGGAAACTGCTCATGAACCTTTCAAATTCGATAGCAAACCCAGTACCCCACCGACCTCTGACCTCTGGGTAGAGTCAGGGGCTGCTCTCATAACAGTAAGCCACAGAAAACTTTCCGTCTCTCCTTTTTCATCACCCACCTTGACTGTGGTTCTGAGACGGCTCAAAATCCGAATCTGAACTTGAGTCGGAGCTGGAGCTGGAGTTGGATGGGCTCGACTGGGCAGACTTCACCCCATAATGGGGGTGGGGCACGACAGCAGGCAGAGAAGACAAGAATAATCTCAGTCCAAGAAAAAAGGGCAAACAAGAAAGGCACACTGGCAGAGGCAACACACAGCTGGGTCTCCCCCAAAAAACTCACTAAAAGGTCACAGAGGCGCCAGGCCCCGAGCACCCGTGACCCAAGGCAAACAGGAGGGCCCCGGCACACACACTCCTGAGAACCTGGCTTCCGGATCCATGGATACCCAACCCCATGACATCATGACTGTCATTCAAAATGCATTGGGCCTTCTTTTCCCACTGAGGAACTTTAGCTTTCTAGCCATTCCAGGAGGAGCTCAGGTCACATCTCCATTGTCCCCTGCGCCTGGGCAGCAGGACAGGGAACTGGGCTCTCCATGAAAGGGAGGGGGCAGCACATCTGTGACTGCTCATGCTTGTGGGCCCTGCCTTCTTCCGGTGAGGACAAGAGTTGGCTGTGGCATCTCGGAAACAGCAGAAAGGTCTGGAACATGAAAAGTAGGTAGAGACCCAGCTTCTCATTCTGCCCCTTGTTTCCCCACAGCCTGTCCCGAGGCTGAGTGATGACAAAAAGCCATCTCTCTGCCACCTGCTGCTGTCACCCATCAGGTTGCCCTGAGGTGCTGATGAGTGTGCATGCATATGACAAGCAGCTGAGTACACAGCGGACTCCAGCCTAACCCCACAGGGCCCTCTTCTTCCTGCAGCCGTCCACCCCGACTCGGCCACCAGGGGGCAGTAAAAGCCAAAATGAAGCCACTAGGTGGTAGGTAGGATGCCAGGGGCAAGGTGACTAGGGGTTGCACTTCCGGGGGGTGGACAGGGACCGGTCACTTCAGACCCCTTCTTGAGGAAGGGGCCTCTGGCCTGGCTGAACGAAGCACTGAGCCAGAACGGGGCTTTGGTGTCTGCCAACAGGCCGTTTGGGAGGTGTGTGTGGCAGAGCAGGTAACTCAAGGGAAGAAGGGCAAAGCCTGCAGTTGAAAAAGTCTGCCCTGGCCCGGAGCACCCCAGACACCCAGGAGGTGGCCTCAGGGGACCATCTGAAGTAATGGAGCAGCTTGAGCACTTGGGACCAGTCACCTCCCCTTGTCAAGAGAAAGGAGGGGACCAGGTGACAGGCAGAGGTCCTCAGCAGTGTCTGCCCAGTCCTGGCATGTGCCATGTGAGAGGAGACCCCAGGAAGGATCGCCTGACCCTCCCGATGGTTTGTGGGCCAAGGGAAGCCCCCAGCACACACAGAGGACCCAGAAAGGCACAAGTCTGCTCACTCAATAGACCCAGAGGGTGATCAGACCACCTGGGAACAGAACACTTGTCACACAGAGTTAAGGGGCCTCTTCTCTAGGATTTACCATGGCCTAACCCACCTGCTCCAGGTCCTCCCAACAGACTCCTGCTGTCCCCCTACTCACATACTTTCAGGCTGGCAAATGTGTTCCCTTGGGAACCCTCCCCCGGAAACCTGGCCTAGATTGCCATCAACCACTGTCCACTGTGGGGATGCTACAGAGACCAGTGTGGCCCCCAACCTCCAACAACAGGCCTTGAGCCACGTGGCCCCTCTTGTATGCAGACCCGAGTTCTTATTCTGGCTCAGGGGTCCTGGTTCTGATGCTGGCTTTCTCACCAGGGTCCCTGGTTTTAAGCCTCAGTTTCCCCCATCTGTGAAAGCTGCCCTGCAGCCTCTGCTAAGCATGTGTGTGCGCCAGCCGCCAGCACATGGAGGTTGATGCCCTTAGTGCCTCTGACATCTGGGGCAGAGAATTTGGACAGGCCTCCTAGGCCAGGGGCATGGGCGGCAGGATCTGTAAGGCTGATGGAAAATAGCAGGGCCAGGCCAGGAGCTGGACCCAGGGTGGTGGCCACCCAGTGTGCAGGCAGCAGGCTCGGGAAGCAGGAGCCATGAGAGGCCGCTCTGCACCCTGTGCCGGGGGGGGGGGGGGGGGGAAGCAAGTCAGATAAGCCTTTCAGGTGCGCTTGTCCCTTTTCCTTCAACACAAATCCAAGGGTGGAAGTAGTTTCAGCCAAACAGCCTAGAGGTGTGGCTCTGAAAGCCCACGAGTGGTCGCTGAGACGCTGCCAAGCGTCTAGGTGCTCGGCCACACAGTGTCCAGAAGGAGGGCAGAAGAGAGGGGCCTGCTGTGCTCCCAGCACTCCTGGGTCTAAGACTGAACTGGACCCCATGGGCCAAAGAGACCACAGAGAAGCAGCTGGAGGGGCTGGGGGCTCGGCCCAGGGACTCAGATGAGGAGCCATGTGGCCATCTCTCAGGAGCAAGCAGCAGGAGGTGACTCAGGTTCCATGCAATGGTCAAAGCTTTCCAGTGGTGGCGCTCCACGCAGCCTCCAGGGTGGGATGGCCTGAGATCGGCAAGAAGCTGGGAAGCCTGGGTCTGAAATGCTGTCTCACCTCCTCTGCCACAGACGTCTGTGCCTTGCCAAGGTCCCAGGGCTGGGAAATGTCACTGAGTCACCCCCTGGAGAGCCTGGGGCATCCTGTTGGTGGCCTGGGTCTCACACCTGCATGGACCTCAAGTGGCTAAGTCTTGTCATTCAGAAGTCTCTCAGGCTGGGACGTGAGGCTCTGCCAGGAAACTGCCCCCCCGGCCCAGGCTTCCATGAGAAACTCCGGCCTTAATTCCAAGGCCATAGATGCCAGACATCAGCCCACTCTGAGCAGCAGTGCCTGGGGGAGGAGGCTTCTCACACAGTGTCCCAAGTGCTCACGACAATCATAGCCAGATGAGTGTGGACACCCAGGGCCCTGGGGGAGGCCTCCATCTCTTCCCAATGCAGGTACACTAGCCTTGGGTGCCGCAAGGCCTCACCTGGAAGCTTCTCAGGTGGAAAGAGGAAAAGGCACCTGCCCAGAGCTCTGGGTGCTGAACAGACAGGAGACAGATGACAGATAGACTGGGGCACTGTTTAGTGCCCAAAGAACCTGCCACAGCTGAGTGGGCTACTGAGATGGCCCTGACGGCTAGGAGCCTTCCAAAGAAGAGATGTTCTAGGGTCCTGCCCCCTTAGGTTTCCTGGCACAATGTCTCCTAGCTGTCAGAAACGCTGGGTGCATGGCACCACCAACCCCATGTGTGTCCCTAAGCCAGTGGGTGCACTGTTACCTATGGGCCAAATCATCATCCCCAGTGCTGTCGCCTCCATGGGGCACCCCAGGAAGCGACACACTCATGACATCTGTTTTACTAACACAAAACAGCTCTGTCTCTGTCTCTGGGGACCACTTTCGAAGTCCCAATAGAGCCTGAACAGCAATGCTGGAGGCAAAGCTTCTGCCTTTGAGATCAAATGAGGGTTTAGAAAGAGCAAAACACCACTGAGTGCCAGGGTGGTGCTACAGGTGAAGGGATCACTCACTCATTCACTTGTCCTCAGTCCATCCATCTGTCCATCCACCCAGGCACCTGTTCTCTGACCACCAGGTGCCAAACATAGCCCTGAGAGATGACAGCACGACCTACGGCCCCAGTGAGTGTGGCCACCCAATCGGCAGTCTGGCTACTGGCTCCTCTGTGGCTCAAGCTGTCTCTGATGGCAATCTTCAGAGAGCCACATGGAAATGCCGCTGCAGGAGCAGCCTGGAGCCTCTCAGGGACAGGACGCCATTCCCAGACAGGAGCTCTGACCCATGCTTAGAAAAGAAGCCTTGCCAATGCAAGATTCCCATGTATGGGATGTGTGTGCAGGAACAAATGGGTGGGCAGGCTGGTGAGGCCACAGATCCCACTGGCCATTTGGGAAAAGAACCGGGCAAGGCTCAGTGGTCAGGGTTAAACTTCCAGACCAGGTGAGTTGGATGAGGATACGCAGGGGTGCCCCACTGGTGGAGGGAGCAAGTTCCTTACAGACCAACCCTGAGGTGAACCAGGGAAGGGGCAAGACATGATGGCCCACCCTGACCCCAAAGCAGCCACCAAGAGCATGGGCCTTATAAGGGGCTCCCAAGGAACAGTGCTCGGAACCCAGGTACCAGATGATCAGGCTCTTCCAGAACCAGCCTTCCCTAAGCACCATCTCCACAGAGTCCTCACAAGGCAGGTTTTATCACACCCAACAGAAGAGGAAACTGAGGCTTAGCAAGGTGTGTGGGCATGCCTAACACTACCAGGAACAAGTGGGAGATCGGGGCCCGGATCCCAGCCTCCCCGGCTAACCTTTGGGCCGACAAGGTTTCCAATGGCTCAGAGCCAGGACACAGGACAAGGACAGGGTTGATGGGGGTAGGGGCAGGCACCTCATCTCTGTCTTTTTATTTTTTATTAAATTTTTTTTTTTAATTGGGGAACAGTGTGCTTTTCCAGGACCCATCAGCTCCAAGTCAAGTAGTTGTTTCAACCTAGTTGTGGAGGGTGCCTCTCAGTGGCCCATGTGGGGATCGAACCGGCAACCTTGGTGTTATGAGCACTGCGCTCTAACCAACTGAGCTAACCGGCCGCCCACCTCACCTCTGTCTTGAAGGAGGCCTCGTCCTCCGAGTTGGACTCCTCCACCTCCGGGGGCTTTTTGATCTCCCGGGGCTCACTCTCGGCCTTGATCTTCTCCCCTTTGACGCTGCCCTTGTCCTTGGCCGGCTTTTTGTCCGAGAAGGAGGAAGACGAGGTGCGGGGCGAGGTGCTGGGGGCGCTCCTGGACCCCTTGGAGCTGCTCTTCTTCTGCTTTTTGGCGCTGGGCTTGGGTGAGTCGGCGGTAGCCGGCCGCTTGCTGGAAGACTTGGGCGGGGGTGGCGGCGGGGGGGGGCCACCTTTAGGGGACAGGCTCTCCAGTTTGGTCTCCTTCAAGGCCATCTTGGGCTCTTTGAACGCAGCCTTGGGGGGCAGGGCCTTCTCCTCCTTGGGTGGCCGGCCCTCGCCCAGCTTCCGTGCGGCGTCCTTGGCACTCCGGGCCTGCTCACGCTCCGGCTCCTTGGAGGGGCCCTTGCTCTCCGAGTCCTTGCGCGGTCGCTCCCGGTGCTCCTTGGCCACCTTGTGGGCCTTGCAGGCCTTGCCGCTCTCCCTGCTGGCGTCCTGAAATGCCGGGTGGGAAGGAAGAGAGACACAGTCAAATGGCATCCTGGGGTCGCCCTGCTCCGCCTCCCCCAACCCCAACAAAGTATAATCCACCTGATTCAGACTCAGCTAGAGAAAATCTTCCAAAAAGCGAAAAAGTAAGGCAGCAGGTGAGAGTTTTAAATGAAGCTGTCCCTTTAAACTACTAGGAAGTGTCAGCAGATCCCAGGCGACTGCAGGCTAAGACTCCCCTCTGAATTGAACTGACATTCCCTGAGGGATTCAAGAAGAGCACACGGTGAGTCAGACAGATACAGGCAGCCACACCGACCCGCTCCCGCTCCGACACCTCACAGCTCCCCGCTGGGGGGGCGCTAGTGGGCAGGCCCCCCTCTTCTGTCCCCACCATCGAGCCTGTGTGCCTCCTGCCTGCTCGCCCCCACCCCGCCTGCCTGGCCATTCTGGCCCCAATGCACAGCTAGGCACAAGGCACAGCGGTCTTTGATCCCCAGCGCTGAGTGCCTGCTGGGATCCCAGGTTCTGTGCAGGACCAACAGCTCCTAGATCTCTCTGAATCAAAGCTGCCTGGCCTGGGCAGCTTTTCTACAACGTGTGTGGTTCCTGGGAAATTCAGAGGCATGAGGGTGGGTCAGCCAGGTCATGGAGCTCCAGCTGGGGTCAGAGGCAGAGAGGGACCCTGCTCTGGGCTGCTGGGAAGGCCAGGCTGGGTGATACCAACCCCGTGCACCTGTGCTTCCTGGGAACAGGGGCAAGACCACCTACCTCACCGGTGATGGTGCAGGGCCTGGCCGACAGCAAGCGCACAATCAAGGGGGCTGCAGCCACCCCTACACAGCCAGCATACCCTGAGGGTGGGAGCCCCATGTGACACCTTGTTTGCCTCCTCCCTATCAACACCCCTTCATTACCCCGCACATCCAGGGGTGCTGGACAGGTGCCCACTGCTGTCAGGTACCTAGGGCTCTTCTCCAACTCGGTCAGCCAGGGGCACGGCTGGGCCCAGAGGCTCTCAGATCAAGGCTCACCAGAAAACCAACAGTGGCCAGACCCCAAGGGTGGCCCATACCACCTGAGGCAGCCACACTTTGCCAGCTCACCCCAAGTGCCGAGGGGATGGGTGAGCCAGCTAAATGCCCAGCGGAGAGGCCTCTGCTTCCTGCTCTCCCAGCCCAGTTGAGGACCCAATGACAGAACTCTCCTACTAAAGAGCCACAGGGACAGATGGCATAGCCTCGACAACCTCAGATCTACTCGGTTGCCGTCTTCTTGCAAGTCCACACCCATATCAGTGCCAAAGGTTCAGGGACAGTCCTGCACAGCCATAGGCCCCTGCCACCTCCATGGACAAACGTCAGCCCCTGTACCCTGGCACTGGCACTCCGTCACCAGTTCAGTGGGAAGGGATACTCACACAATAAGCCCCCAGCTGACCATCTAAAGGGGCATCCCCCTCAGGGCTGGTGCATGGAATGGGGCCAGTCTCAGGGGTCTCTGCTCCCCAGCAAGCTGTTTCCCCAAAGAAGGAGGCAAGAAGCAGAGACCCCACATGCAATTCCAGCCTCTTCTCACAGTGTCAATGCATCCGCCTGGGCCGTAAGAGCTGGTCCCAGCCCCAAGAGGCAGGATGAGAGCACACCTGACGGGCATGTCCACCAAAGGCCTCAGCGCAGTTCCTGCCGTGCTCCCCCAGCCCTGGGGTCGACTGAGCCTCTGCTGCCGCCCAGGGCCTGCCTGGAAAGCAAGGGCCTTCTGAGTGGCAGCTCTTCACCCCGGGGGTCTGCACAGGCACCCAAGACTGTGGCTCTCTGAAATCAGATGCTAAGTTCTGAGTGTAATGTGTATGTTTCTAGGGGTGAGGACTCCTCGCGGTCACATTCTCAAAGCCGTCAATGATAGGAAAATGGCTAAGAACCAAGTTCTGGAGAAAGGTCACCCAGGGCAACTGGCTGACATCAGATAGGGAGAAGCTACAAGTACCCAAGGCCAGGGGTGCCGTGGGGCATGAACCAAAGGAAACACCATCTTCATGCATGGTGAGTATGAGCCTTCAGGGGAGCAGGCTCCTCTTTCAGGAGCTTCCAACTCCTACCTGCCATGCTACCCTTAGAGGAGCCCTGAGGTGGGAACAGACCACCAGGTACCAACCCCCCAGGGCTACAAGAGCCAGACCTTCCAGCGGCCCCCATACAGGGGACCCTGTATGACCCACCTCTTCCCTCCCAGTCCTCTCTGCCTGGAGCCATGTGGCCTGGCAATCACTCTTCGGGTCCAGGCAGTGGAGAACCAATCTGGGGTGTGGGGTGGACAGCTAGTGCCCAAAGGAAGGTCCTCAGCTGGAGGAAGAGGCTGGCTGGCGCACAGGCCTGGACCTCCTAGAAGAACAGGGTAAGGATGGTGGCCCAGAAGCCAGGACTACATAACAGACAGAGGGAGTTTCCTGGAAAGCCACCAGCAGAGAAGAACCAGCCATGCGCTGCCTGAGAAAACTACACAGGAACCTCCTAAGCCACACTGCCCAGGTGGCTGGAGAAAGATCCTGGGACAGGGTGGGGTGGAGACCAAGGACCCTGCCTACAGACCCTGCCTACAGGTAAGCCCATCTGGCCCAGGGACTCCCTCCCGGGGGGGTCGCAAAGACATTCTGGCGAGAAATGCCAGGAGCAACCCCAGCAGGTGCAGCTCCACCGGCCACCGGCATGTCCTTGCTACCTGGAGGGCATCTCTTTACGGGGTTTTGAGTGACTTGCAAGTGACATGTACAGAAGCAATGACAATTCCTACCCTTCCTATTTTGCACAGACTTTTGGAAAACTGTGAATGGCTGAGAGAGAAGCTGCCAAGATCTCTAGCAAGAATTTATCTTCCATTTGACCTCCATGAGGCTCAGGCAAGATGGGCCCGGGGGCTGGCGTAGGGAAGACCCCCAGAGCTGTATTCCAGACATACGACTCTAGCCTCATACGTCTTGAGGGATTAAGTCAGACAAATCTGAGGATTTCAGTGGCTGACTGGCCTTGTGGAAAGCGCCAGAAAGAGCTTGCCTGGGTAACATGGCTCTCCTGTAGCGTTGCTGATGAGTAAGGCTGTAAGATGGCCTGAGAGCTCAACCTGTCCTATCTGGGGTGCCCCAGGCCCGCAACATCCAATAGGTGAGTGAAGCAAGAAAAATGCAGAGATGAGAAGCAGATAAACTTGTGGGGTCGGTGACGTGGGGACAAGCAGCTGTCCTGAGAGCCAGATGGAGTGCGGCCTCCAGGACACAGAGCTGTGTAGGCGGTGGCAGGGGAACGGGATGCACACTTAGCAGTTTATGTGTACATCATGACACCATCAGAAGGGCTCTGGTGGCCACTCCGGGATGGTTCAGAGAGAATGCTCTCAAGAAGGCAGAGTGCCATCCACCTGGCGGGGCTGAGAGAGGACGATAAAACGTTTCTTTTGGGGGAAAATCAGCTTGCTCACCACATGGTTCCACCTGGCCCTTCCCCCAAGTAAGCTTTCTCTGCTGGGAGCTGCTACCAAAGAAAAAAGCCAAGCCTGGAACAGCCCAGGGAGGATGCACCCAGCCCTGGTGGACGGGGTGTCCTGGCTGAGCTCAAGAGGCCTGAGAGGGTGGGCAGTGGTGGCTGCGTGGACACACTCTGTCCATGGCCCGCAACCATGCGAGACTGTCTTGGGATTCTGTCTGAGTGGTCAGTGGGAGGGAGGACATCAGGGCAGGCTGTCGGGCCTCAAGAGGAATAGGGTAAAGAGCCTGCGATTGCCAGCTGTTCTGTGCAATCCAGGAAGGGCTGACCCTTCTGACTAAGTGGCAGAGAGCAGCCGGGGGAGCACAGATTGCTCCAAGAGGAAGATGCCAAGAGGAGGAGTCCAGGGACGGAAGGCCCAGCTCAGCAGAGGGGGTGCCCTGAGCCCAGGACCCTCCGCTGGGCCTCAGTGCTCCCATGTGACTGGGCCTTCCACCTCACTAACCTTGGAGCCGTGGGACGGTTTGGTCTTCTTGGGGTCAGAGAAGGCAGAGAGTGGAATTGTGGGTAACATGGGGTAGTCAGGACTGGGCCTGGACACCGTTTCTGCTCCTTCGGGCATTACCATCACCTAGTGATAAAGAAGAGACAGATGTTATCAACGAGCAAGGAGGCAGGCTGGAAATCCGATGGGCAAGAGGAAGTTGGCTTGTGGGAGTGTGGCTAGAGGTGTTGGAGCTTCCTTCTGGGTGAGGGGGCCACGGAGACCTGGGCGTCACTTTCCCAAAAGAGTCAAAGGCATTTCCTCCGTGAGGGGCTGGGTGCTGAGTGCTTTGAGAGAAGCAGGATCGCGGTAGAGAGTGAAGAGAAGCAGGGTCCCAGGATGGCTGGGCCCGGGTGCGGCCAGTGCGACCTCGGGGAGGAGAGCTCTGGGCCAAGAAGACTGGCGGAGTGTGCGAGAAGCACAAGGAGGCAGCTGTGGCCAAAGCTGACCTGAGCGCCGCGGTTAAGAAAGACCAGAAGCATAAAGGCGAGAAGCCAGGCAGACACCCACACTGGGCAGAGGTGCGGAGGAGGAAGCAACTTCTGCTGGATGTACGCATGTGGGACTCTGGTGGGTCCCACATCTCCTGGAGGACCAGCCCTCCTCCACTCTCAGGTGGGTCAAGTTGACTGAAACAGGGAGCGAGCAGCGAGGCCGAGCAGTAGGGAGCTGCACAGGGGTGGGTCCAGCTCTCTGCAAAAACCACCTCACTGGAGTCTGCAGGGTAGGAAGTGCGCTCTGCTCCTTGTTAACTACTAGAAGGAAGGGCCTGGGCTCCTGCCAAGAGGTGCTCCCAGAAACACCTGCCCAGGTCCAGTGAGGCTCCCGTGGCACCTGCTGAAGGGAGAGAAGACTCGGGGGCAAGTTCTCAAAATACCGACACCGGAAGTTCACACTATTAGCGGTCAGCCACTCAGAGGGAGCCTTCCAGACGGCAATGAGACAGAACAAAAGAATCAAGTGCACATAAAAAAAAGAAAGAAAAAAGCCCTTAGCTTGGTAGAACACGCACCCTTAATAACCTCAAGCTCCTGGGTCCTTGAGGAGCCAAACCTTTCATCTGAGGAGGCTGATGTAATGCCTGGTCACCAGGACACCAGGTTGAAAGAGCAGTGGGGCCCTTTGTACCACTCCCACCCCTGACTCCAAGGCAGTGAAGCCAGAAGCCAAGTGTCTCACCAGCCTGTCTGACCACAACACTCTTAACCACAGCACCCAAAACCCAGCTGACCCTGGCTGGCGTGGCCGAGGTTCACTAGGCCTCAGGAAATCACCATGCGCTCAGGCCAGCAACGACAAGCACGGCATTTGAGAAGCGACCGACAACCCAGGAGAGCAGACAGGTCCCCTCAGAGGCCTGAATTCATTCACTCATTTCCTTCTACCTTCATTGTCATTTCTCTTTTCTCCTTCAAAGGAATGTCCTAGACTGACACTATTTTGGGACAATGCTGTGTGTGCCTTGTCTCTTTCTCTTTCTCTCTCTCTCTCCTTCTAAGAGCCCTTTAAAAACAGGTAAAGTAAACAAATGGACCCACTTCCACCTCCAGCACCGGGCTTCATAAGGACACATCTCACCCAATGGAAATACTGACCTTCGGCTGCTGAAGGGGCAAAGGATGAGACACAATGCTGCGAGGGGACAGGCAACTGCCTGCCCCAGGGCTGGCCTCTGACCGTCTAAAAAACCAGCCAAGCCACTCTGGTCACCGCTGAGGAGGTGTGTGAACCTCACACAAGGAATTACAGCATTCAAGTGCCCGGCAGCGAGGGGCGGTACAGAAAGCAGTTCTCACCCCTTACAGATCGCTGTGTTCCTCCAGTTCTAGCACCTCCATCAGTAGGGTGGGGTCTGCGGTCATCTGCCACTAGATGGCTGGTGCCAGCCCCATTGGGGGCACTCAGAGCTCCATGCTGACTAACACAAGGGCCACAACTCAGGTCTCAGGTGACAATGTCCCATAAAGGTCCTAGGCTGCTCCTAAGACCAGAGAGCAGTGCTTTGCCATCAGCCCAAGGCAAGCCCCAAAGGCCCATAGCCCCAAAGCGCGAGAACGTTCCTGACGAGCAGACCAGCTCTCTGGGCAGCCCTCACTGAGGGTGAACAGCGCCTGGCAGAGACCATCCACCGCACCCCTCAGGCCTCGCTCTCCCTCCCCGCTTCCTTCCTCCCGGGCTGTCCCTTCCCAAGCAGCAAGGCGGACCTGCCCTCCCAACCTCTCTCCCATTCCTCTGGTTTTAAAAGTTTAGATGATGCACACTGAGCCTTCAGCTCTTCAGAGCAAAGAAAACCTGACAAAAGGGGTCATGGGGACAGTCCCCTGGTCCTGGAGCTCTGAGAGGCCCGTGAAATGATGACTGTCTGAGTATCTGTCTCCCAGAGATGTGATGATGGAGCCTTTGGATAACACCGCGGGTAAATATTTTGGAAAATAAGGTGGAGAAGCAGAGCTGGGCAGGACTGTCAAACCTGGCAACCCGCACCCTCCTACTTCCTCGGTTGTTCCACAACTTCAGGACAAACATCTGTGTCAATCAATTCCAATGCCTCCCTGTTCTGTTACCAGACTCCATCAACCACCACATGCAAGGTCAGAGTACCAGACTAATCTTTTATTAGGGACACAGCAGAACTTACTCAAATTATCCGCAATGAATGATTGCTTTTATTTTTTTAAAAAGTTCATAAAAGACCCAACTAAATTAAATGAAGAGCAAGAACTGCTCCTCAGGCCCAAAGAAACTCAACTCAAACTTCCTGTATTCACTGGGGAGGTGGGCCTGCCCACCCCACCCCACCCCACACACTCACTCATGACCCTGATGGAATCCTCCGTCGCAGGCACCTCTGGCAGCTAGGCAAATGCTCAGTGACTTTGGGTCACTAACAGGTAGCTTTGGGATGTCCCATCCTCAGCCTGCACCTAACTTGGCACACACAGTCCAGGCTGCAGCCAAGTGTCCAGCCTCCTCCACAACCAACCAACCATCCATCCACACCGAGCACCCCAATCCCATTTTCCATGAGCCCTGACACAGGTTCCTGGCACTCGGCCACCACACTGGGATCGCCGGCCACATGACTCAGGGCAGAGACCTAGGTTCTGAGAGTTGACGCCTTCATCTGGCCTCATAAGGACAAATCTGCCAGGCGGCGTGCATCCTCAGGGAACCCCGCAGAGACGGTGCTGTTTCCCCAGATGACGCAGTCCCGGCACAGCCTTGCCAATCCAATTAAGAGCTGGCTCCAGTGCCTTGCCATGCTAACAGACTGGCCTCACGCCCATTCCTCCTCCTTCCCCTCTTAGGGAGGAAGATGCTAATTAACCACAGCCAACCAGGAAGCTAAAGGGATAGCTAGCGACTAGTCAGTCATTCCGAGCTGACGGCGCCCCAGCACAGACTCAGGACATCTGGGTCCCATCCAGTGCTGCCAGGTGCTACCTGTGCAACCTGCCCCTCGGGTATCGGGCGCCCAACCATAAGCTGCGGAGACACGCCCGCGAGATCCCAAGGCACCCCCAGCACCAAGGCTCCCAGCACAGGAAGCGGAGCTGAAACCTCGATGAAGTCACGATGGAACAGCTGCGTCCGTCAGAGCTGGGGCAGGGCCACCCACTTGGGGCACACTCACCCCGCCAGCCATCAGGAGCTTGTACCGGAACTCAATGGTGGGGTTGTTGAAGGTGAGCTTCTCGCAGCGCAGGTGGTTTACAGGCGGGTTGCCCTCCAGGTTCAGGAATAGGTCATAGGTGAAGCAAACCTTCCTTGGCTCCTCCTTAAACAAAGAAAACAAGGAAGTCAGTTTCAGAGGGGCAGGCGGGAGGCTGCAGGGACAGGCAGCGGAGAGGTGGACGTACACTCCCCACTGCTGGCCCCTACCCTTCTTTCTCCTCTGCTTGGCCTCCACTTCTCTCCCCCTTGGTCCCTCATTTGCTTCTCTCTGTACGCTGTCTCCTCGTCCATCCGGTTATCCAAAATGAATTAACTTACTATTTTCAGAGGACCTAGCAAAGCAGGCTCCACAACAGGAACAAAGATCACATTCTCTGATGGTGAATGGTAACATTCCTGCTGATGGGTGTACAGCCCCGCGCACACATTCCCCCTGGAGCCAGCCAGCAAATGGAGAAACCAAGGCTCGAAGACACACTGCTGCTAAGTGCCAGTGCTGAGGCCTGACCCCAGGCTCTGAGGTCCATGGTCCTAGAGTCCCCTCCGCCTGCCCCTTTCCTACAAGGCAAATTTCTCCAAAGATTTACACATGGCCAGTAAGCACACGAAAAGATGTTCAACATCACTAATCACTGGGAAAGTGAAAATCAAAACCAAGACATACTGCCTCACACCCACTAGGGATGGCAATTATTTAAAAAACGGAAAATAAGTGTTGGTGAGGATGTGGAGAAAATGGAGCCCTTGTGCATAGCTAGTGGGAATGGGAAATGATGCAGTCACTTTGTCTGGAAAACTGTCTGGGATTTCCTCAAAATGTTAAAAATAGAATACCTATATGACCCATATCTCTCTCCTAGATATATGCCCAAGAGAAATGAAAACATATAGTAACACAAAAATGTGTACATCTATGTCCATAGCAGCATGATTTACAATCGTCGAAAGTGGAAACAACCCAAGTGTCTATCAATAGATGAATGGATAAACACACATGGTCTATCCAGACAATGGAATATTATTCTGTTATAAAAAGAAGTGAAGCACTGATACTTGCCACAATGTGGACGGACCTTGAACACACAGTGGCCCATGAGAGAAGCCAGACACACAGGCCACACAGTGTGTGATTCCATTTATGTGAAATGTCCAGAACAGCAAGTCCACAGGGACAGGAAGTGGGTTTGTGGGTGTCAGGGATGGGGTGGGGGAAGGGGAGTGACTGCTAATGGGCACTGGGTTTCTTTCTGGGGTGATGAAAATATTTTGGAATTAGAAAATTGTGATGATTGCACAACACTATGAATATACTAAAACCCACCAAATTTGTATACTTTAAAAGGGTGAATTTTCTGAAACGTAAATTACACCCCAATTTTTAAAAATGTTCTCTACTGGGAGAGAAAAAACTGGGAGCATGGGAGCCAGTGAAGATTTCTCAGCAATTAAAGACTTTACAACAGGTCAGTCGGGGAGCAAAGCGGCTGAACCCCTCAACTGGCATTGCCACGCCCTCTTCTCTTCACCCCTGCCTCCTGCAGTCTGGACCTGCAGGTTCACAATCCTGCGGGGAGAGAGGGAGCAGAGACAGGGGCTTGGCAGCCTGGCCACGCCTCTGCAGCCTCCCCAGCAAGGCCTCCGTGGTTTGTGAGCAAAACCAGGCTTTTTGAACCCTGGTGAATGTATGATGCCTGAGAATGGGAACCAGATGGCCACGTGTCCACTTCTGAACAAAGGGGATAGGAGCAGGTTCCTGCAATCCACGTGGATGACTCTGTGTGTGTGTCCCCACACCCCAGCCCCACCCCATTCAGGCCTCAAAGGTAGGAGGTGCACCTGTCACGTGAAACAGCCACAGAGCCTGCCTCCTGGGAGCCTTGAGTCTGGTGAGGAGACAAGTCAACAGGCCTTGTCAAGCCACCGCCAGCTAGTGAGGTGGCACTGATTCTGCCCCTCCCTGCAGCCCCTAGTCTCAAGTAGTGTGGGTTTCTACCCCAGCCCAACTAAACCAGACTTTGAAACATTTCCCTGTCTGAGGTGGACACGTGATCTAATTTGGGGTAATGAAATATAAACATGGAGAGAGTCAGCCCAGGGAGGGCTTTCCTTGCCAAATCGAAAACAAATGTGCAGGGAGAATGTCTCAGCACCTCGTTTTCCTGCCTAACCGTGTGGCACAGTGCCTGGTGGTGCAGCGCCAACCACGGGAGGACTTTGGAGGAAGCCAGGCAAGTCTCAGGTAGGCAGCCCTGGCACCACAGAGCTGCTGCCCCAAGGCCCTCAGCTGCTGCCCTACGTCCTGTCAAGGAGGAGAAAGACTCCTGTAGTAAGGCTCTCCTGTGATATCCCTAAACACAGCCAGTGCCCCTCCATGCCCACACTGCCCTGTGCCCACCCTGATGGAGGCACTTATCACAGTTGGGTTGTCTCCCCACAAAACTGGGAAGCACTTGGAGGCAGGGGCTCTGGGGACTCCTGTCCTGCACTCCCCCAGGTGCCGACACAAGGGAAGCACTCCATATTTGCCAAAAGAATGAAATGCAAGGGTGGATAAGAGGGGTCTGACCCATCAGGTGGGCAGGGAAGGGGCCAGGAAGACCCCCTGGATGGTAAGACAGGCTTGGAGAATGACTGAGTCAGTCAACTCAAGAAGGGTCAGGGAGATGTGTATCTTCTCTGGGAGCCCCAAGGGTCCACACAGTGGCAGCTGCAAGGGGAGGGTAGAGTGGTGGCAGCAGCAGACCCAGAGAGAAGGGCTTTGGCCACCACTGGGAGGGTGAGCTGCTTCCTGGGACAGAGGGACTTAGGATCAGGAAGAACAAATCCAGTCCCGTGATCCAGGAAATGAGCACCCTCTGGCCTGCAGGATGGTGTGACTGGGAGCAGGGTTTGAAACTGGCAAATGAAAGGGAGGAAAAAACAAGCACCTGTCCTGCCTCCCCTCAGGTGACCACACAGGAGAGGTGGACTGCAGATGGGTTCCCGCTACTTCGTGGAGTGGGAAGGACATCGTCACCACTCTGCAGCTCCTCAGGCGCATCACAAACACAGGCCACTGGACGAGACCAATCACCACCTTCCCAGGCAGATCTCCCCTCCAGAATCAAGTTCAAATTAACAGTGAATACACAAACCAGAGGACTGGGCTAAATAAACACCACAGGGACTGAAGCAGCAAAAAGCCAGATGGTACCAAACTCTACAGGACTAATGACCCAGTTTCTTCAACAAATCGCAAAAAAAAGAAAAAAGAAAAAAAAAAGGTAGAGGGAGAATCTACAGATTAGAAGGGACTTAAGAGACAAACCCATGAATCACAATGTGCATATTTTACCTAGGCCTTGATTCAAACAGAAAAAAGACTTTAAACACTGACTATTAAGGGATTATTAATTTGTAGGTATGATACTGGTATTATTACCATGTTACTATTAAAAAGCAGTAATCTTTTGGAGAACATTCTAGAATACTGACACATAAAATGTTGATGTCTAGGATTTGCTCCAAAATGACACGTGGGGGAGTGGTGGGCCAGGGACAGACCAAATGTGGCCACACGAGACAACACTGGAACCAGGTGATGGCTACCAGGGAGCTCGTTCTGTTACTCCATCTATTTCTGTAGATGTTTCAAACTTTCCCTGATAACCTTTCGAGTGGACATGGGGCTGTGAAGCTGCATGTTCGGAGGAGGAGCTCAGCTAAGGGAACGGGTCAGGGAGGGGAAGGCGCCCTGGAGCCTCAGGACACCAATGGGAGGTCAGCTGGCAGCTGGACAGAGTTGACAGACTGGGGCCCAGTCTTGGTCACAGGCCTGTCTTGAGCCTTGGTCTCTTCACCTGTGTTGGGGAGGATTCGTTCAGATAACGCAGCCACCATGCTCAGCTCAATGCCATCAATAAATGAAAACTACTGTTTTTACCAGAAAGAGATCTGGGCTATAGGAGGGCACCTGGGAGACAAAGCAGACAGATGGTACCTGAAGCCACAGGATTCCCCAGGGGGATAACAGGGAGCCTCACAGGGACATTGAAAAGACACTCCACAGCTCTGCCGAATACAGGAGCACCCCAAGGCTCAGAAGCAGACCCACTCCTCTTCACACTCCCTGGCTGATCCCACGCTCAGCTGCAGCTTTGTGTCCTGGCTACATGGCAGGTCCAGCCACTTCTCCCTGGCTCCTCAGCCAGCCCCTCCTCCTTGTCTCCCTGAACCACTCATCACCTCCTAACCGTCCAGCTGCTTCCACTATGGCCCCCCTTTAAGTCCACAGAGTTTGGACCAGCTCCTGGTTCAACCCCAACCCACTCCTGCAAAACCTGCCAATGGCCTCCCTGAGCCTTGAGCAAAGGCCAAACTGTCACCATGGCCAGAGAGATCTGGCCATTTCAGGCCACAGCCCTTCCGTCCCACAGCCGTCTTCCACTCCCCTAACCCAGCTCTCCCTGGGCTGGCACTCATCCCTTGGTGGGCCTTCTCGGACCACTGTCCCCAATCAGTGTGTGATTCACTCTCATAAGTAGGACTCATCAGTGTCCACAGGACAGATGTCTGTTTTCTGTCCACCCACCCCACTGGACTCGGAGCATTATGGAGAAAGGGACCCTTTTTTGTTCCCGATAAGCCTGGCACTGACCAAGCACCTGTGTCTGTTCAATGTGCCCACATACTCATTTATCCTACAAAAACTTAATGGGTGACTGCTATGTGTTCACAACAGTGACCAACACTGAGGAGGGGTCTCTAACCATGGATACTCATGGGTCTGTAGGTGAGGCAGTCACTGCAGCAGCAATACTTACATTACTATGTAATATCACATTTGTGGAGCATTTACTATGACCAAACACTTTTCCAAGCACTGAATATGTATGAATGCTTCACAGCCCAGAACACAGGTGCTCTTACTGTCCCCATTTCACAGGTGAAGAAACTGACAGAGGCAGTAACCTGCCTGGTGCCACACAGCTGGTCAGTGGGGCGCTAAGAGTCACTCTGGGCAGGCAGTGTTCTCTGGAAGCCCTGGGGAGGTTTTCACGCCCACACAAACCCAACAGCGCAAGGCAACAGCCTGCACACAGACCAGGAAGAGTCTGCATGACA